GGGTGAGTAACATCTCTTAACACCAACTTGGCTTGTTCCCCTTCCCAAAGAAATACCTTTTTTCCTGTCTCGAGCTGTCGAGTAATCGATTATCAGTAGTAGAAGTCGATTATCTATCCTTCGTAAAACACCCGCAGTCTTCAATAGTCGATTATCACTTTCAGATAATCGATTATCAGCTTTTCCCAGAAACCTGCAACTCACAATAATCGATTACCACTCCTCCGTCAATCGATTATCGTCCTTCTCGGAGAATTCCCAGAAAACTGCCAAGAACCTAAAGCCTTCAACAATCGATTATCCACTTAGGAAAATCGATTATTAGCTTTTCCCAGAAACCTGCAATTCTCAATAATCGATTGTCACTCCCCCATCAATCGATTATCGCCCTTCTCAGAGAATTCCCAGAAAACTACCCAGAACCTGAAGCCTTCAATAATCGATTATCCACTTAGGACAATCGATTATCTTCCTTTCCCTACAAATAAAGAGTCTGAGACTATAAAACCCTAAGCTTAGATATAACACACTTGGAGCTGTTGATTCGGTGGCACGGCTCAACAAAGCAGCCGCACCCTCCTACCTATTTAAAGTTTGAGAATAGGTCGAGGGCATTGCACCCCTAATGCCTCTAATCATTGGCTTTACCTGATAGAACTCTCACGCCAGCTCCAGCTATCCTAAGGGAAACTTCGGAGGGAACCAGCTACTAGACGGTTCGATTAGTCTTTCGCCCCTATACCCAAGTCAGACGAACAATTTGCACGTCAGTATCGCTGCAGGCTTCCACCAGAGTTTCCTCTGGCTTCACCCCGCTTAGGCATAGTTCACCATCTTTCGGGTCCCAACAGGTATGCTCACACTCAAACCCTTCTCAAAAGATCAAGGTCGGTCGACGGTGCACCCCGAAGAGGGATCCCGCCAATCAGCTTCCTTACGCCTTGCGAGTTTTTCCACTCGCTAACTCGCACACATGTCAGACTTCCGTGTTTCAAGACGGGTCGAATGGAGAGCCCACAAGTCAACGACCTGAGTATGCAGGTGCCGAAGCACACGCGGGGCGCGCACAACTTCCCACAATACAAGAGACGGCATTCCCCTAGCATATCAAATGCCCAAGCTTCAACCGCCACCTGAATTCTCGCTGATCCACACCCAGAGCCTATCAGCAGACCGGCTAACCACCGTTCCACATCCAACCTGGGCCTATCGCCGGTCTCCATCCGCTTCCCTCTCGACAATTTCAAGCACTCTTTGGCTCTTTTTTCAAAGTTCTTTTCATCTTTCCCTCGCGGTACTTGTTCGCTATCGGGCTCTC